TTTAAGCATTTCATTTGGAACTTCTGCTTTGCTCCTGTGCACAGTCCCTGCGCTGCTCAGTTTGTGCTCTGTTAGCACATGTCCCATCAGTTGGAAGCTGGTAAACCAATCGTCGAATGTCACATTCCACTTACTGTGGGAGATGGAACAATAAGCCTGTTCACAACATCATTTTGCTGTTACTGTAGGGAATAAGGACTTCATGGCTGGGTTCTAGGAAAATGTCTACACTGAAAGCAAAATTAGGAGCCAGGGAGATGGCTCAGTAGAATAAGCACTTGCCTGGCAAGGACAAGGGCCTGAGTTCAATCCCTGGTTCCGCAAAAAAAGAAAGCAAAATTAAGTGTTTGCATGTACAAGGGCATAAATTTTATGTCCTTTGGGGCGGGGGTGACCAGAAATCAGACTCAGGATCTGATGCTTGCCAGGCAGATACTATGCCATTGAGCTAAATCCCTGAGCCTTATGCCATATTTTGATTGATCACTTTTCTGTAAGTCTTTTGCATTCCTGTGATCACCATGAGAAATCCCTGTTCAGTACAGCAGACCTGTGAGTGCTTTCAGTTCAGCTATTAATGTGTCATTATGAATGTATTTTTAAATGTGGCTCTTGGTGCATACAGAAAGTTTTACTTGCATTCAAGCCTTTCACAGCATATTGTAGCATTGTCTGTTACTGTTTCTAACACTAATTGACAGTGCTGCCTTCTGTCCCAGACATTTCTCCTTTGCCAAGATCCTCACGCTATTTCTGGACCTAGTTCTAACATTGGATCCTCCATTTGGTTACATGGCCATTTTGTAACATTTCAACTGGTAAAATATGTACTTACATTGTTGGGTTTTTTGTCACCTGAGCCAAGGTGTGCCTGTGTCAGTCAGTTCTTTGACAGTATTTTTAACCCCCTACCAGGTATTGAGCTCAGCACCTTGTGTTTGCCAGGCAGGTGCTTATGCCACTGAGCTATTTCCTCAGCAGTCAGTCAATTCTTGGAGCTCTTTCGCTGTCACAGGAACTTTTGGCTCACATGGCCAATGTCAAAGTCATTACCATCATCACACACCATCATCACATACCTACACCACTCTTCCTGTATGAAAGCATGTATTTCACCATCAGGGATCGTCTTTATATCCTTGAATGAGTGATCTCATGATTCACTTTGACCTTCTCTAAAATTTGCAGATATGGTTTTTTGTGTTCCACTGTACTGAATTGGACTACTTGTACCAGAAAAGTTAAAAAAACATATATTTTATGAAAAAACAAATCATGGAGTGGTGTGGGTCCATTGACCCCTCTGTGATGCTAGGGTAAGCATACACAAAAAAGCCAGAGTGTAAAGGCCTGTCTAAATGCTGAGACATACAATTTGCTGCCATAACTAATGCTAAAGTATAAATTTACAGTAGAAAAGTAAGGGAGGAGCCGCTGAACCCAGGCTTATACCCTGAGGGCTTGTGACAGACAGGCTTCATCCCTTTGTTCCTGTGGGAACGTGGAGAATGGTCTTCTGACAAGAAGATGCTCCCAGGATTAAGTTGGCCATCTTCACACCTTCACCGAGATCAACAGCTCCCCCTAGGGGCCATCAAGGTCATCACTGTCACTGGATTTAGGCGCCAAAGGTCCCAGACCAGTGCAGACTTTGCGTGCCACTTTAACATTTTAGGAATAAGTACTTATTTCTAAAATAGAGCCTGGTGTACTGAGTCTGTCCTTGGCATTTTTTCATTCAGCAACACAGGCTGCTTCAGACACTTCAGCCCGTACCTCATTCCCGAGTCTTCCCTGCCACAGACCCAGAGGAGTGGCCTGCCTCCTGTTTTCTCTCCAGGAGTAACTGCCCCTGCCTCTGTGCCTTGGGTAGCTCTCCCCGGGCCTGGCTGCAGAGTGACACGGGGCCCTCGAGTTCTCCTCTTCCTCGTGACCCTGAAAGTGAGCCCCTGGGCTCTGGTTGGAAGTGCTGGTTGTCAGCAATGAGTGACATCATCTCAGAGTGGTTGAGAGATGGGTGTGCAGCAGAGACTGAGACAGGGCCTCAGCCTGTGGGGGCTTCGGCCCCTGCTCTCTCCCCAGGGCTGCATTTGGTCCTTTTCCCAAATACCTGGGCCTCCTTAGGTGAGCATCAGCATTCTTCTGAAACCTCTCTCCGAGCTCAGTTGATTTTTGTCTGTTTGTTTAAATGGTGCTAGGGATGGAGCCCAGGGGCTTGTGCATCCTGGGCCTACTGAGCTGCCCCACCTTCAGAGCTAGGTTGTAGTATGAGATGCGTCCAAGAAGCCGGCCAGCACCTTTGCTTCAAGTCACTGCCTCCTGCCTCTGGTGAAGTGTCGCATCTTACAGCCTGCTTGCTGAGAAAGTTGAGCTATATCAGCAAAGAGGAGGGTTGCAAAGTAGCTAATGGAAATGGAGGTGTCCATTTCCCTGTTAGGTTTCTTTTCCTTCCTGCTTCCCTCCCGGGTAGCACCCCCACTCACGAGCAGGTTCCCCACCTCCCATCCTCTCGGGTGTGGTGGCACAGCTCATTGAAGATGTGTTTGCTTAGTACCCTATCAAGCCTGCCGGCCAAATAGCTCAGCAGATTAAAGCACCTACAAGCAGGCGTAGGGGTCAGGGGTTTAATCCCCAGGCCTGCCTTGCCAGCCCCGCCCCCGGGGCACACTGATCCACAAATGAAACTGGGCATGGTGGTGCGTGCCTATGATCCCAGCACTTGGGAGACTGTAAACAGGAGAATCACTACAAGTCCAATCTAGTAGTGAGACCCTGAACACCCTGTAGACTCGTCCCTAAAATACAGAAAAAAAGGGGGGAAAAAAAAAAGTCCCAGCCTGAGCTGAGAAAATGTAAGGAAAAGCTGGTAGCTGCCTGGATCATTCTGGCCTTCATCTTTGGACTCTGTCCACCCCCAGTGCATGCCCCTTGAATCCTGTGCAGTGGCTAGCAGAATGGTGGGACCCAGGGAAAGCTGGGCGTCATAGCTGCTTACGTTTGTGAAGTGCTTAATCAACTGTTATAGGAGAAAAGTGCCTCCTGCAGATGACCTTGGGCCTGCTTCCCCACTGGTTCCCCTCTTGTTCCCTCAGCATTTGGGAATAACCTCAGTTTTCAAAGCAGTGAGGTAGAACAAACTCAGGGTGTGAGGAGTGATAAGTGCCTGAGATACTCCGTCCTTTCAATGACAGGTCAGCTGCTGGAGGACATGGGTGATTACTGTTCACCTGCCTGTAGCCTTCAGGATTACAGGATTCTGGAGAATAACGTGCAATCCCAACTACTTAGGAGGCTGAGGTAGGGGATCGCAAGTTCAAGGATGGCCTGGCTAACTTAGCAAGACTCTATCTTAAACTTTAAAAATAGAAAGAGCCAAGGCTGTGGATCAGTGGTAGAACACCTCTGAGTTCAATCCCCAGCCCTGGCAAAAGATTTTGGAGAATGCGTACAAAAAAGTATATTTGACTCACTGATGGTACTAAGCAACTGATAGCTACTGCTGCTGCTATTTCCAGATACCCAAACAGTTAGGTCCATAGACCCTCTTTCATCCTGAGAGGAAAAAGAAGCCCATAAGTGTCCCAGTGATGAAATCATCTCGGTCGTCTCTTAGCCACGGATGTAGCTCAGTGGTAGATCTTGCCTACCATATGCAAGGCCCTGGGTTAGCTTCTCCCACCCCACAAGCATACCCTGCCAAATATCAAAACATAACCTGAGAAGTCCTTTCTCCCCACGAGTTAGACTTCTTCTCCGACCCCAGTGCCTTCCTGGTGACCAGGGGTGAGTCATGCCCTGACGGGGCTGCAGCAGCTGAAGCAGCAAACGAGTTTTCCAGGACATGTTCCATCCTCCACTGACAGTGACATTACAGAACTCCCCAAGGCTTCTCCCACCTCACCCAGGGGGCACCAGGCCTGTGAAGCCAGGTGCTTTGCAGATAAACTGTCTTAGTTTGGTACCTGTAGAGGCTGAGCCCCAGATGGGTACATTCGGTATCATGGGAGTTTCCAAAGAGCCGAGGACAAACATGAGCCTGCTTTGTTCCTTTGCTCCACCCAGAACCATCCTGAGAGCGCTCAGAGGTTACACTCTTCCCTCCTCTAATTTTTGGTTTTCCGATTTCTTATGCCAAAAGGCTTCACCCCAAAAACTGCCTGGGTGTGCGCCAGTTTGCCGAAACGATGATGTGTGCCGTGCTGTACGATGCGGCCAACAGCTTCATCCACCAGCACTTTGTGGAGGTGTCCATGTCGGAGGAGTTTCTGGCTCTGCCCGCGGGAGACGTGCTGGAGCTCGTGTCTCGGGATGAGCTGAACGTGAAATCAGAGGAGCAGGTCAGTGTGCACACTGACCAGAGCAGTGGCAGCAGCGCGTGCTCCCCATCATTGTTTGCTGTCGAGTTTTGTTTTGTTTTTTTTTGGTGGAACCTGGGACTGAACTCAGGCCCTTGCCAGTCAAACGCTTTTTCTTCTGAGCTGTCTCCCAGGCCCCTGCTGTTGAGTTTTAAGCAAGGTTAGGCTCATGGTATATGTGCAGCTATTATGTGTAGTGAGGTTTAGTATATGTGTTGGTCATGAAAACATTTTGTAGCCTAGATACTCTGTGTATGAACTCCACCTCATGGAACTCAACCCAAACACCTTGTTATATTTTTGGGTTATTTCTGCTATCTCTCCTGTTAGAAATAACATTGCTATGAATTGCAGATAGTGAGAGTAGACAGCTTCTGAAGGAAGTTTTTTCTAAAGAAGAGCAGAACCTGGGCCAGTCACTGAAGGGAGCATGAAGTCCGAAGGGCTTTTGATTCAGGTGAGGGACATGCAGCGTACTACCAATGAGACCTTCCAGGAGAGAGGGGAGAATTAGCTGTGGAAGAGACAGGCAGCAAGTTGGGTACACTGGATAGGAGCCCAAGCCATCCGTACCTGCGCAGCAGGGAGGAGAGCTGGGTGTTTATGCGAGGTGACGAGATGCTGGGTTCTCACTGATGCGCTCTTCCAAGTTGCTGTTATCTTCTCAGCGTGGAGTGAGTGCGGCAGAGATAAGTGAGTATGAGCGGTCCTTGGGCAGAGGCAATGGGCAGTGCTAGGGAGACAGGCTGGGTGGGTAGCAGATTGGTAATCATAGACACAAAGACCCGCTCTGTGGTGTTCTTCCCACCACGCAGTGGTGCAGGTGCAGAGCAGGAGCAAGCAGAACTTAAAGAGGACCTCATCAGCTTAGAGCTCCTTCTCCAGGTGCATGTCAGTGAGGATACCAGGAGCTTGGTGTGGGAACCCAGGGCTCCCCTATGACAGTCCATGTTGGCAGAGCGATGAGGACCAGGGCCAAATGTGGGGAGCTGAGAAAGAGGTGGCGGTCAGTGTTAGAGACAAGCAAGAGGCAATTCCTGATCTGGACAGTTGGAGGGACAGCTCTTGGGGAAGCCAGTTATCGTCCTGGAGGAGGAAGCTATCAGCAGGTGAGCTTGGGGCAAGCCTGGGACCCTCTGAAGACAGAGAAGACAGGTCTTGGCTAAAGCGAGAGCAGGTGTGGGAACCAGAGAGGAGCAGAGGCCCAGCTGTTGCCCAGAGCCCATCGGTTGTCTTAGAGGTGTTGTGCAGGCTGTCTTAGGTGGATGGCAAGGAGGTGTTACTTGGAGCAAGGCTGGTGAGGGCTGAGAGTGCAGGCTGAGAAGCGTGGCCTGGCCCTGCAGGCCCTGGGAACACTGCTGCTCCTGGGTCTCTGCCACTTGAGAAATCATGGCCTTTGGTTAACCAGGCCACTTAGAGCACTTGAGACCACGTGGTGGCCTGCGTGATGCTGGGCTTCAGCAGGAGTCCTCTGCTCCAGGAAGCAAGCAGTGGGGTATTGGCCCCAACTAGCTGATTTCCTTAATGACAGAATAGTCCTAACTCTGAGTATCAGTGATGAATAGAAAAGAGGACCCTGAGCCCTGCAGCAGAGAGCTTAAATAAAGGAAAGAGCCTCCTCCCTCACCCCAAGACTACACACCTGTCCGGTCCTTTACTACTTAACATGACCCAGGCAGTGCACATTGCTTCAGTAATGTAGCTGTGAACGGGGCAGTAGGGACAAATCTTGAAGGCTAGCACCACAAGAATGTGGATCACGAGCCAGACCTTAGAAGAAGGAAGGGAGCAGGTTTAGATGCAAATGCCAGGAAGGATACCTAGAGGGGGGCGACAGTGGAAGCCCAGGAAGAGAGCCTGGCTGGAATTGAGGGCTTCGAGGGACTGCTGTAGAGCCCCCTGGAAGGGAGCGAAAGCAGTGCGTGTTGGAGGAGAGATTGCGGGGCCCAGCAAGGAGCTGGGGCTGTGGGGCGGGAGAGTGGCTTCCAGTGGTGCGAGCTGCTGCCCCAGCACTTCTTCCTCATGCCAGGTCTTTGAAGCCGCCTTGGCCTGGGTTCGATACGACCGGGAGCAGAGGGGGCCTTGCCTGCCTGAGCTGCTGTCCAACATCCGCCTGCCTCTCTGCCGGCCCCAGTTCCTGTCTGACCGAGTGCAGCAGGATGACCTGGTACGCTGCTGCCACAAGTGCAGGTGAGTGGGGTGGACACTGCTGAAGGCCTAGGCCACTAGCTCCGGATTGGTAGCGGTCAGCCTCATTCATGGCACACAGATCAGGGACCTTCTCCCCAGAATGGGAGAGGAAGTGGGAAGAGCCCAGTCTTCCAGCAGGGACAGAGAGTGGTGCAGTGTAGGGGCGCTGAGGTTGAAGGGCCCTCTCTCCACTGAGTGAAGGGGGATGTTCAACCAGCTTCAACATGGAGCTGCCTGCGGTAGACAAACAGCTGTCCTTCCTACATGCCCTGTCTCCACTGACCAAACAGAACTTTTTGCAGCTGCTTGACCCCTCAGTAAATACTAAGTCAGGGCCCCAGGAAGCAATCAGTGGTGACATGGCATAGGACAGCACCAACCCCACTCAGAGGATGATGGCCGTCCTGGTAGGAGCCCTGTGCTCAGGTTAAAGCAGTAGAGAATGCCCAGCCTCCAAACTGCTTGTCACGTGCACAGTGGTGAAAATTCTGTCTCCTTTGCCTGTGGTTTCTGCACACATCCAGTACTCCCTTCCTTTCTTACCCCTCGTCAGGATCACTGCCAGTGCAGTGTGCAAGAGTGTGTCAAGAGCCTGTCGCAGTGTGGCCTGCAGTCCCAAGGGTGCACTTGGCAAGGAGTAGCTTTCTGACGTCTTAGAGAAATAGCAGGGGCCAGAGCTCAGAGGCTGGCTGTACAGGGAGACAGGGAAGGGAGGAGGTGAGAGGTGATGGCGGCAGGGCGTACACCCCGTGTCGGGTGTGGGGAAGCTTAGGTCCGAGTGATGACAGGAGCCCAGGTGCTGAGGCCCCTGCCCACCACTGGCACAAGGGCCCCGCGCATCCTGCTGCTCCACTTTCAAGTATGTCTCAGCTATACCTGACATAATCTTTCCAAGTGCTTCTCCTGCCAGGTTTTCCTTGCCATGGGGGGGCATAGGAGCCTGGCTCAGAAGTGCACATGTGGACGGAGAGGAGAGGGCCTCCACTCCCATCCTCGCATCCTCCATGTTTTTCCAGGGACCTGGTGGATGAAGCAAAAGATTATCACCTCATGCCCGAGCGGCGGCCGCACCTCCCGGCCTTCAGAACTCGGCCTCGATGCTGCACGTCCATCGCTGGGCTGATCTACGCCGTGGGGGGTCTCAACTCAGCAGGTATCTTGCACCCCTTAAATGGAGCCCTGGCTGGAGGACCTTGGGGATTTGGGGTTTTGTTTTGAGATAGGGTCTCACCATGTAGCCGAGGTTGGCCTAAAATTCAAGGTGATCTCCTATCTCGGCCTCCTGAGTGCTGGGGTTACAGGTGTGCACCATCACGCCCAGCCTGGTCTAGAACGTCTTGGATACAGAAACACTCAGCCCCACCTGGGCCTTCTGAGTCCTCTGCCTCATTCTGTACCTCCCTCATCCCAAGCCCTCTCGATTTGATGTCATTGTTCTACAGTTAGACCCTGCCACATAGTTCCACCATTACACCGGAGCATAAGTGCTCAGGAGGCCTCGCCTCCATACCATACAGCGAGGAAACTGAAGCCCAGAGACATCCCCTGTGTTCACACATTGCTTTGGGCAGAGCAAGGACTTGAACTTGGGTTCCTGCAGCCGCACTCTTCCCGACATCACATTAGCCATTGCAGTTACTCAGCCCGAGACAGGGTTCAATCAGAACCCCAGTTCTGTGCTGAGGGCTTCACAGTCCACGCACTGTTGGTGGCTCTGGTGTCTTGCAGTCAGGTTTTCAGAAGCACCCCACGGCCACGCCTCCTGGTGGTCTTGGTGGGCAGCCCTGCGCAGTCCTGTTCCGTGGAAGCTTGGCGAGAGGTGGGCAGTGGGGAAGGGTTAGAAATACTCCTCCTTGCTGCTCTGCCTGCGGTCTACTGAGTATATTCTAGAATCATGCCGATCGTTGAATCTTGCTGGCAGCTCTGCTGCAAATGTCATAAATGAAATAGAATGGGGACACAAAGCCCTGTGGCTGGGTCCCTCAGTAGTAAGCAAGGTGGCACTGGGGTGCATGCTGTTCCCTTTGGGCATGCCTCCTGAGTGGGGCTGGGTGAGGTGCCTGATTGTGGGGTGAAACTACCCTGTCAGAAGAGTAAACACCTCCCATCTGATCCTGACTTCCCTTGAAGGAAACCAGAATTCCATCATGGGCCTTCTGCCCTGAACCATCTGGGGAAGAGCTCAGAGCACCAAGTCAGTTGTTCCGGGTACTCCTTGCCCACTAGCTGTGATCTAAACAAACGGTCTCATTTGTTTTAATTTGAGTAGCACATTTTTATGCAGGTGATTCCCTGAATGTGGTGGAAGTGTTCGACCCCATCGCCAACCGCTGGGCAAAGTGCCATCCCATGACGACGGCGCGCAGCCGGGTGGGCGTGGCCGTGGTGAACGGGCTGCTCTATGCCATTGGGGGCTACGACGGCCAGCGGCGGCTGAGCACAGTGGAGGCCTACAACCCAGAGACAGACACATGGACCCGAGTAGGCAGCATGAACAGCAAGAGAAGGTATCCTAGAGCCATGCACAAGTCGGGCACATGCACAGCACCGGGGAGAGCATGCTCGCCAAGAAGGGAACATAGCAAAGTCATACGTGAGCCTCTGCTGGGGAAGGTCCTGTGGCTAGGCCAGCCACTGCCTGACGGGAATTAGCCTCAACCTAAGAGGCTGCCCTGTCCTTTAGGCAGCTTGGGGAGACGAGCCTCGAGCCAGTGGGAGCTGCCCTGTGATGCGCATCATGGAGGATTTGAGGGGGGAGAGAAGCTGAGCTCGAACATCTTGAAGGTGTCAGGGAAGAGGGGGATGAAAGAAACCTGAAGAATGAGGGGGATTTAACGTCTCTAGTGGTAAAAGGAAACGCAAGGTGGCTCTCAGGTCCAGCCCTGACTCAGTGAGACCATCTCCGAGTAAGAAATAGAACAGCCCGGGGAGGTAGCTCAGCACGAAGGCCCTGGGTGCAGGCCCCAGAGCAGTTTGAAGACTGCTGGACCTGCTGCTCTTCAGGGACCCTTGAGCCTTATGGTACTGAGGTCTCAGTGTCTGGCCACAGTCCCTAGGTCCCTGCCTGTGAGGTCCCATAACTGGGAAGGGCAGGAGGAGATCCAGCGTCAGCAGAGCTCAGGGGAAAGTCCTTTGCCACAGAAGTGTAAAGGACCCTGACACATATAGACACATATACTCTGCATGCAGCAGCATGAGCGTGTGGCCATGAGCCGGAAGAGGTCTGCCCCCGTAGCAAGGGGTCCACATCCCCAGAGGCTCCACGTAGGTCCCTTTGGTGACAGCCACCTATGCCAAAGCTCCCAGGGGTGCCCTCCTCCCAGGGGTGCCCTTGTGGGTCTTCCTACCCCTCCCTACCTGTCTCCTTGTGTCTAGCGGGCTGCTGCCTTGCGGCTGTCTGGCCCCAAGCTCCAGCCCACCCACTCGGGGCTTTCCTTGCTCTGCACACTCACCCAACTCCTTCAGCACTGTGTGCCTCTTCATCCATTCTCATAGTGCTGTGCAGCACCTGGATCATGGCTGTGTTTTTATGTTTGTTTTGAGCCTGGGTCTAGACTGGTACCGTAGCTCTGAGGTCTCTCCAAAGCCCCACCTTAGCCTTCCCTAAAAGGGTGTGAACTGTTCGGTGCACCTGTCACATCCCGTGGGCCTGGCTTAAGACAGGCCCCTCCCCACCACTTTCTGGCTGGCTAGAGGGTCTCAGAAAGGTACGCTCTGTGGAGCTGCTGGTTGGCTGTGTGGACATGAAAGTGCAGTCACCCTGGTGCACTTGCGTTTCCTGTTTTTGAGACAGCCAGCATCAGATTTGCAACAGGGAGTCCAGCAGCAGGCATCAATGTGTGATTCCTGCTAAGGCTTTGTTGAGAACAGAGGATCACATGATTACCCCAGGCCCCTAGGGCTTTGATCAGGAGGGGTAGGGGCACTGGGCCGCTGCCACCTGCCACCCAGACGCAGCTATCCCTTCCTCACAGGGTGCAGTGAGATAGCCAACATGGAGCACCTCACACATTTAGCAAGTGCAGCTTCACCCAGTGTGACTTGCTGATGGCCATGTAGGCAGTGAAAACACCTCTGCTGACCTACACAGTGACCTGAGGGGGAAGAGCGAGGGCCAGCAGCAGGCAGCCAGGGGCACCGCAGATGTCACTGTCGAGGTCACATTGGCAGAGTTGAGGTCTTCCAGGGGACCCCCGCTTGTTAAGGGGTGGCAGCTCCCTGGCCCCCCATAGGACCAGAACATAGGTGCTGCAGGGTAGCAGTGTGAGTGTGTGGCATGTGTGTGGCACTGAAAATCCCGCAAGTGGATGATGTGATCAGTACTGTCACACAGCAGCCGCTGTGGGAGTGTGGGCTCAAGAGAGAGTCCTGCTGAGGGGCTTGGAGAGCAGGAGGGGAGAGAATTCGACCTGGGCCTTGAAGGTAAAATAGACCCTTGGAGCAGGGATATAGGCTGGGAGTTAGCTCGGACCGAGTGGCAGGGGTAAGAGGAGCCAGTTTCTTGGGTCGCCTCCATGGCATACTGTAGTCCTGTTCCTGAGATTTTAGTCTTTTTTGGGGAGGAGTTAGTGGACCAGCTGGTCTCACGGAGGGCAGCCCCGGAAGTTAGAAGTCCATCTGGGACGACAGTTGTGTCTCTTGCAGTGCCATGGGAACCGTCGTGCTGGATGGGCAGATCTACGTCTGCGGGGGCTACGATGGCAGCTCCTCCCTCAACTCTGTGGAGACCTACTCGCCTGAGACGGACAAGTAAGGACTCAGCTTCTGGGGACCAAGCTCATGCCAAGCATGGCCAGATTAGAGCTGCAGGGTCTTGGGAGGCTAGAGAATGTCTTACTTCCTTGTATCTGTGGTACTTTGTATATACGTGATAACAGGTATTGATTAATCCTGGGTTAAATGAATGGATAATTAAATACATTTTAAGAACAAATATCTATGCCAGGTGTGGTGGTGCATGCCTATAACCCCAACACTTGGGAGACTGAAGCAGGATGGTCACCAGGCATTCAAGACCAGCCTAAGCTACATTGTCTCAAAAACCAAACCAAAAAAAATTAATAATAATAAAAAGCCTACGTAGGAACTTGGGAAGATTTGTTTAAAGGTCTATGCCTGTTACATGAATGAGCCCATTTTGATAGAAATACAGATAAAAGGGGTTAAGACGCAGATGAACAGCATGTTCCAAGTCAGTATGAACTGACTCGGAAAGAAACGTGGGAAATGTTAGCATCTGCCCCGCCTGCATCCTCGGCTTCCCACAGAGCGCACTAACCTTGCAGAGGCCCCAGGAAGCTGAGCTTAGCCTTGTGTTGTAAATGACAGTCATCACCATGATGTGGGATGGTTTTTATAGAACACCTATTTTGAAAAACCCTGACAAGGTTATCCTGAATTTTTCATTTTACCTTTTTATCTTTGCCTGATTAACAAAATATAAGAAGCAGAGTTGAATAGGTTCCTCAAGATGCTTTTCAGCCAATACTCGGTTAATCTTCACAGGACACAGTGAGGAGTAGCAAGCTCAGTGTTGGGCTGTCTGGATAGCACCCTGGATGTCGAGGCGGTAGTGCCGGGTGGTCACCCTACTCTGGTGACTCAATCCCTGAGTTCTAGGCCCAGGGTTGGCGGGAGTCCTCTTCCCCTGGCAAGGGCACAGGGGCAGAGTGGCGGGGCTGTATTTGAGGTGAGACTCATCATGGAGACAGCAGGGAGAGGGCCTCAGAATGGAGCTAGGGTCTGGTGGGCCTGAGCACAGTGTGGAGGAAGCAGCAGCAGGTAGCTGCATGGTACAGGGACTCCTGAGAGGACCAGGTCCTCCGCTGCGTGGGCCAGGGCAACAGTGGCCGGACAGACAGCCCCACCGTAAGCAGGTGGTGTGTGGTCTGGGACAAGGTCCGAGCTGGCAGTTGTAGTGGGGACAAGATGATGGGGCAAACCATCTGGGGCTTGGGACCATAAGAATATTGAGAGTGAGGGAGAAGCAGCCAGGTGACAAGACCAGGAAGTGCGGGCTGAATGAGCATGGAGGAGAGTGGCCGTGTTGGGCAGGGGCCAGCTCTGAGTGCCCGCGGAGCAGGGCAAAGGAGATGGGTCGTGGCAGGAGAGGTAGGGGTGTGGTCCAGGGTACAAGGGCCTCAGCACAGCTTACCAAGCCCTGCCCTACTGTCTTGAGGACGAGGACACTGTCACACCCCCTCCTGTGTTTACTTTTCCCCAAAGGTGGACGGTGGTGACCCCAATGAGTGCGAACCGCAGCGCCGCGGGTGTCACAATCTTTGAGGGCAGGATCTACGTGTCAGGTGGCCATGACGGCCTGCAGATCTTCAGCAGCGTGAGTGTGGGTGAAGGGCGCCTCTCCGTCCGGGCATGGGCAGGCTGCACGCTTGTCCTCTGCAGTTGCTAGCTTCAGAAGAGGCAGGGTATCCTGCCTGCTCCTGCCCACCCCACTCCGCTGCCCCAAAATCCCTGTCCCCTCTAAGCTTGAGAGTCAATTTACACACACTTGTGTTCTTCTGGACATTGTTTTTTCATATCATGGTTTGTTTGTTGAATAGGCAATTTGTTTCTGTAAGGTTTTCTTTTTTAGTCTCTCTCTCTCTCTCTTTTTTTTTTTTTTTTGGTGGTACCTGGATTGAACTCAGGACCCTGCGCTTGCCAGGCAAGTGCTTATTCTACTGAGCTATCTCTGGCCCTCTTTTTTAATCTTGAGACAGTCTCACTGTGGAGCCCAGACTAGCATTGAACTCACAGTGATCCTTCTGCCTCAGCCTCCAAGTGCTGAGATTACAGGCGTACATCTGGCTGAAATTGCATTTTTAGATTTGTTTTGCTCTTTATTTATTTAGGGGCCATGTAGTAGTGGCTCGAAGCACTCTGGCCTGTCCTGGGAGACCGGGCTCTAGCCCACCTCTGCCATTCCCTAGCAGTGTCTGCTTGGCAACCCCCTCCCCTCATCTGTTTTCTTGGGTGTACACAGGAGTCACCTTTGGTGACCACTCTCTGCCCCAGTGCCAGAGCTGAGCACACATGGGCAAGAGCACCCTACCCCAGGCCTTCACCCCAGGGTTCCTGTGGTCTGGCATCTGTAGCTCCATGCCACACCCCACAGGGTCACTCTGGGGCCCAGTTGTGACTGTCTCTCCCTTCCCTGCTGCAGGTAGAGCACTACAACCACCACACAGCCACCTGGCACCCGGCCGCCGGCCTGCTCAACAAGCGCTGCCGGCATGGTGCTGCCTCCCTGGGCAGCAAGATGTTCGTGTGCGGGGGTTACGATGGCTCTGGCTTCCTGAGCATTGCCGAGGTGTACAGCTCTGTGGCGGACCAGTGGTGCCTCATCGTGCCCATGCACACGCGCCGCAGCCGTGTCTCCCTCGTGGCCAGCTGCGGGCGCCTCTATGCGGTGGGTGGCTACGATGGACAGTCGAATCTGAGCTCTGTGGAGATGTACGACCCTGAGACAGACCGCTGGACATTCATGGCCCCCATGGCATGCCATGAGGGAGGGGTTGGCGTGGGCTGCATCCCTCTCCTAACCATCTAAGGCCAAGGGTGGGATGCAGTGGGTCGGGATCGGGTACAAACCTAGGCGCTTCTGTCTGGGGCCAAGCTCTCCCTGGAGCAGCGGGGGGCCAGAAGATGGGGTGAAATGCGAGCTCATCAGAGGGACGGCTCCTCCAGGTGCTACGACTTCCTCCCTGTGCCGCCCTTGTGATCTGAGGCCCGGCCTGGGACAGAAATCCCTCAGGGCTCACAGCCAGGGACAGGGAACTGCTTTGCCGGTCCACGCAGAGCCACGCACGCTCCAGCCACTGCACACCAGGAGCCACCAGTCTGCAGCCATCCTGCCACAGGGAGGTCACAGGGCCTAGCGTGTGGGATATCATGGGGTGCAGCAGGAGACAAAGGGTGCACCCCACATGTTCTTCCTGCCCATGCTGGTGTGGCCGCTGCAGCAGCAACTCCCATCATGTGGCACTAAAAGAAGGTTCTGGCCTTGCCTCTGGGTAAGCAGAGAAGACTCTGGTCTTCCCTTGTCAAATTTTGAGATTTCAGTAAGGTCTTTCCATCTTGTCCAGAAGAAACAGAAGGGAAAAAGATACTTGAAAGAAACTGAAGAAATAAACTGGAAAGAAAAATATTTTAGAGTGAATTTTTTTTTCCAGGCAGAAAACAGAGGACACTAAAGACAAATACCTGTTTCAGTGGAAAAGCCATCAGACACAGAATGGTGGCATCCACTTCTGCACCCAGATCCCAGGGCTCTGAGGCCTCTTGAAACAGTTGGGGTTCCCTCCGGGCCCCCAAGCCTGGTCCCGCAGCAAGGTGCTCTCAGTTTGTCTCCACCCCCATCAGAGGACGTTCTTAGCATAGGCTGGGCGAGCCACCAGAGTTACTGCCGCTGTCGCAAGTGGGAGCTCCAGCTGCCCCACGACCCGCAGCACATGCACAGCCCCCACTTTCCTCTCCATTCCTTCCTTGTGGGACCAACAGGAAGCAGCATGTCCGGCCAGCCTCGCTCTTCCCATCTGTCCCTCCTGGATCCTGCTCCTAGGCACAGCGCTCCTTGTCATCCCTCCCACAGCCTGGGGAGGCTGCCCCTGCCTGGCCCCCACCCACTGCTCCTCCGTCCACTCGCCAATTCCAGGGGCCTGACATCCCCCCAGCCCTTGGCCACCCGACCAGCAAGATGGACCTTTACTTCTAAGCAAATCTAGCTTTAAGGTCTGAAGAACTTAAGGATGAAAGAATGCTTTGCTGCTGCAAAGAACAGAGTTTCTATTTCTTCCTCTAATCTTGGCAAATGACCTCATGAAGAGACTCCACATGCCTTCCTCCTCCCCAGTGGGACCTTCGTGTCACACTGCAGGAGCCAAGGAGGAGGACACTTTATTACCATTGCACTGGGCAGTGGAGCTGTCCTTCAACTGTTGCCAAAACCTGCTTTTATAAATTCTTCTGGTAGAGACTCGGAGAGGACGTAGTTCTTTTTTGCCCAAGACTGGGCCAAAGGGCCCCCTCGCTGCCTGGTTGGCTTCATGCCTTTCTGCCTGCCTGCAGGCTGGGAGCCTGTTTGGAAAGGCACAGGGTGACACCGCCTCCCCTTCCGTCCAGAACCACCAGGCTCGCCAGTGTGCTCGAGCCCACGGGCAAGCACTTGCTGCGGAGCTCAAGGGAAGGGCCTTTGTTACTTGCAGCTTAGGAGCTGGGCCTCTTCCAAGCACTTGAAAAGGATGCTTTTAAGCCTCTGCAACCGCCGAGCTTTACCCGACTCACCCTCAGTTTCCCTGCAGCAATAGGCTCAGAGGTGGAGGACTTGCTTCCTGTTGAGACGTCAGCAGCGGTCATCCTCGCTGGGAGCCACTTGCCTCGCAACTCTGAGGTAGCGCCGGGCTGCCTGGATTGACAGCAGCACCTGAGCAAGCAGGCCTTGCGGGTCCTCGGCGGCACTGACCCTCTCACCGCAGGGATGGTGGAATGCTTTTCCTTGTGCCGCTCCTGTGGTGGCCTCCCTGGGCCCTCCCACGGGAGAGGCCTCCTGCACCTGAGGTCAGCATTTCCAAGGACAAAGCCGGAGCTTTGATCTGCGCTCTGAGCACAGTTTCCCAAACCCTGTGTTTGAAACCACCCTGGCCGGCTCCTGGACAGTTGTGCGCAGCAACTGGCGGGGCTTCATTATGGGGCCCCAGGCAGGAGGTGGCACAGTGTCCGAGGACATTGTGTGTGTGGTCTCAGGCACAGCCCAGGTGGCACATGGGACACCGGTGTTCACTGTCCTTGTGGTACACAGCTCTCTCCTGGGATCATCTGAGACCACTGCCAGAGGGAGCTGAAGACCAGGCTCTTGACCCTGAATGTGACGAAGTAGGAACCCCCCACTTATTGTTTCACAGGAAATCCTTTATTTATAGAACGCATGTCATTTGTTTTAAACCAAAGAGAAGGAAATAAAGAAAACACTCCTAATACATTGACCTTCCTGATTTTTTTTTAAACATAGTCTTTTTTTTTTAAATTTTTGTTTATTTTTATTTATTTGAGAGAGAGAGAGAGAGAGAGAGAGAGAGAGAGAGAGAGAGGTGTGTGTGTGTGTGTGTGTGTGTGTGTGTGTGTGTGTGGCCAGCTCAGCCCACCAGGGGGCGGGGCTGGCTGGCATGTGGTGCTGGGGGATTGAACTGCGGTCCCTGATGCCTTGCCAAGCTTGTTCTAAGTAGGTGCTTTAGACCACTGAGCCATCTCTCCAGCCCTTAAACATAGTCTTAACCATGCAGGCTGGCCTTGAACTCACTTATGTAACCCAGGCTGGCCTCAAACTCACAATGATCCTTTTGCCTCTGCCTGCTGAGGGCTGGGATTAAAGGCATGTACCACCACGCCTGGCCCTCTGATTTATTTAAAAATTAGAAGCGCATCATTTTTACTGTGACTCTGTGAAAAGTATAGTAGTCCTGGTAGCACATTAGGAGGCTGAGGCAGGAGGATCCCATAATTGAAACCACCCCAGGCAATTTAGCAACCTAATGAGACACTGTATGAAAATTTTAAAAGGACTGAACATGTGGCTTAGTGCAAAGGCCCTGGATTCAGTCCCCAGTACCACCCACGTATAAATTCATATATATACAAATACACATGACAAGAAGGAATATTCCTGTGAAAATGTGAAGCCAGATGTCATAATCATAAGCCCAGGAGCTGAGCTATGGCCCAGGGATCCTGAGTCTTAACACCATACCCTGGGATAGGTGAACCTCGGGTCCTGCTTTTGTCATCTAACACACTGCTGGATGTTTCAGGATTGGATATGCCCAGATTCGTGGTGATCCTCCTGTTTTTTGCCACCACGCTGGGACTCACTGGCTGGCTCGGGCTGGGGATGGTGTAGCATGTGGTGCGGGGATGAAACCCTGGCCCCTGTGCTTGCCTCAGCAGGCACTCAGTCCACTGAGCTGTCTTACTGGCCCTGGATCAGAGATTCTCATTGTTCTGTCCTTTTAAATTCCCCACATTGGCTGGTGAGATGGCTCAGTGGTCTAAAGCACCTACTTAGAACAAGCTCGAGGTTCAATCCCCCAGCACCACATGCCAGCCAGCCAGCCCCGCCCCCTGGTGGGATGAGCTGGCCACACACACACATAAATTTTTTTTAAAAAAATAAATAAAAATAAATTCCCCACACAGCACGTACAGTACGTGCCAGACTCTACCCCGTGGCCAGGTTGTGCCAGAGCCAGTTGCCTCCCTCTTATTCCATGCTGGATTTCTGCTTGTTCTCCTGCTGCTGTGTTGAGGCCCCTCAGGTGATCCTGGTCAGCACAGGACATTGTCTTCATTTCTCACTGTACTCGCATAGACCATCTACCTGTGCATACCTGCATGTTACTCCTGCCTGAAAAGTTTTGTCTGTTTCTCCCATGCCTGCCAAAGCTCTATTCTCCACACCTCTCAGCACTGGAGATTGAGCCCAGAGCCTTTGTTCTGAGCTGTTTTCCCAGCCCTTTTTTGTTTTGAGATGGTCTTACTACATCTGAGTTACCCAGGCAATCCTCCTGCCTCAGCCTACCAAGGGCACCACTACACTGGGTGGAAGTTTCATGGCATTTATTTATTGATTGATTGATTGCGGAACCGGGGATTGAACTCAGGTCCCTGAGCTTGCCAGGCAAGCGCTTATTCCACTGAGCCATCTCCCCGGTTTCATGGCTTTTAAAGCCTTGCTGCTCTAGGGTGATCCATGGCCTGGCAGCAGCAGCAGCAGCGGCAGCGGCGGCAGCTCGGTCGCAGAGCTGGGTGGGTGGTCCTGCAGGCTGCTGTGTCAGACCCTGTGTGACCAACCCCAAGCTGCCCAGCCCAGAAAGCTGAGCCTGGTGACCCTCAGAAGACCTACAGGAGCGCAGAGCACCCTCTGAGTAGCTGGGTCAGGCAAGGAGCCATAGGGTGTGGTGTAGAGGAGGGGCGGGCACGCCCTGCCGGCCATTTCCTGCCCTAGGGAAGCAGGTCTGAGGTCTCCTTCCTTTGCCCCAGCTCTGGGTGCCCCCAGGGCTGCAGTGGCGGGGAGCTGGAGTTGGAACCACCTTCCCTGACACTTGGTTTTGTCACCAAAAGCTGTAGATGGTTTGTGCAGCTTGCAGAGCTAAGGGACCATGGGAGAAGTGGCGCACACCGATAAGGGCGCTGTCCTTAGGACAGCCTTCCCCAGGCCCATACTGAAAAGCCCACTTCCTGCAGGAGCTCTGCACCGCAGCCCCTGTGGGAGCTTCCATTCGGTTATTTCCTGGCCGAGACCTTCCGGACTGAGCATGCCAGGTTTGATCTTGGGCCACAGACCCATCAGGGACCTGGGTCAGAGTGTCACTGGAGGCCAGATGTGGGGTGTGAACAGGGCAAGATGCCAAGGACAGAGCTCAGGTTTTGGGGTCAGCTGCAGAGAGGGTCCCAATATGGGATACACTTCGGGTGTCCACAAGGGGGCTCCCTTAAGGCAGAGTCTCAAGGTGGGATTCCCTGCTATACAGGTGGGAGTGAAAAGGTAAAAAGACAGCTGAGAGGCTGAGACGGACCACGCTGGGCTCCCCTGCCTGTCCTGAGTTCCCTGCCATGACTCCTGTCTCCCCACCTTGCTGGTCTACTCTCCCCACGCTCAGCGTCCCCTCCAGTGCTCAATCCACATACTTGGTCATTTACTTCAAAAACGTTTTATTGAGCTCTCTCTCTGGTTCTTGAGGTTTTGGAACATGAAGGGGCATTTGGCTATTGCAGTGACCGGGCAGAGGAGCTCAGGGTCTTGCACAAAAGCAGCCACCCTCAAGGAGACAGTCGCTGCTGGCGGAACTCCTGTGAGTGCGCACTGGCTGGGGACACAGTATGAGGACTGCAGAGACCAGGAAACGGGGCTGGGGATGTTCCTGGAGGAGGTGACTTTCCCCTCTGTGCTTTGCAGGACAAACAGGATTTAGACACCAGGCAGACCAAGTAGAGGGGAGTAGGTGTGCAAAGGTGGGCTTAAGTTTGGGGGGGTCCCTATAAAGGGACCTGGGCAGTGCAGGACCAGGGGTGCTAAGGCCTGGGTCGGACAGAGGCTTCTCTCTTCTGGCCCTAAAAGTTGCTCAGGATGTTGGTGATGGCGTCATACTTGGTCTTCTCATACAGGTTCCTGATAACGGATGGCACTGTGGCCTCAGGGGTCTCGGCCACCTCAGCTGGCTCTGGCTCGGCGACCTCAGCTGGCTCTGGCTCGGCCACCTCAGCTGGCTCTGGCTCAGTGGCCTCAGCTGACTCTGGCTCCAACCTGGAGCCCTGTAGGGCCGAACTGGTTAGGTCCCACCATTGCTTCACGGCCTCCTTCTGGGGCCACTGTCCCCTGTCCCCTCCTCCACTTCCCATTGGGTGCTCTATGGGTGGGGCCTGGGAAGGGGCCAGGGGCTCACCTGGTTCAGAGACTCACAGTCCTGGTCGCAGCTGACAGTCAGGCTCTGCCTCAGCCGCACCTTGGAGAACTGGCCGATGCAGACGCGCTCCTCCTGTGGGCACAGGGACAGGAGCTGGGAGCAGCCACCCATGGCCCCAGCCTAACCTGAGGTGTGAGCTAGAGCCCAGAGCAGAGGGAAGCAAAATACTTTTCTGATTTGGGGAGGAGGATCTTGGAGCTTAAAGTCAGGCTACAGTCCCTGCCCTTTCTATTGGTTGGTCTTCAAGTGTTTGCTTTTGTTTGGTGTGGTTTTCAGGGCTGGGGATGGAGCCAGGGTCTTGGGCTTGCTGGGCAGATGCTAAACTACTAAGCTTACCCTCAGCTGTTTTGTTTTTAGATGGAATCTGGCTACATTACTGAGGCTGGGCTTCAATTGTGATCCTCCTGCCTCAGCCTCCCACATAGCTGGGATTATAGGCATGGGCCACTGTGCCGCATTGATTTTTAAAAAACTGTGATCTCTAGGTGGATTATGGTCACACATTTAGTTTTGTTTTCTTTATACTATAAGAGGTAGCTCCAGGTATTGGGTTGGCCTGCGCTGTCTATATTCTATATAATATATGTTTTTAAAGTGTGTTGCTTTTCTAATAAAAATATTTGATAATTTATAGAAAGAAAAAGCAATAAGGAAAACCTGATTTTGCAAGGGGCTTTCACATTCAAACCCTTAGGAAGGTGGCCGGTAGCAGGCTGGAGGCCTGAGGGGGCCCTGTGCGGCCTCACCGGGAGCTGGGTTAGGGTGCAGGTTACTCACCCCGCCCTCGCGGAAGGCGCAGTTCTCAGGCTGCCGCTGTGTCTCAGGGGTGGAGGTACACACCGTCTCTCTAATCCTGAAGTTCAGCGGGACCCTTCTCGTGGAGTTCTGGAGAAGCAACAGAAGTCCGTGAGCAGGTAGTTCCCTTCACGGACACGCCTGGAGCTGCGGGAGCCATCTGTGGTTCCCGCTGGGGCCGGGGCTCCTTAGGTGCCTCTGCGATGGGAGGTGCTCGGTCCAGAAAGGAGCCAGACTGCAGGCTCGGCCTTCCTGCCTCTGCCCCTCCATGGCCTCCCTGAATCGGGGAGTCCCACCAGAGAAGCAATGGGGCCCGAGGCTGGGGATTCCCAAGGCATAGTGGAACCGGGCCAGTTCCTTCCTGTTCCTGGCAGCAGCTCTCAAATCCAGGGCCTGACAAAAGCTGGATCCCCGTATTTGCCATCCAGGCAGCTGCAGACTAAGGTCACAATCTTGTTTTATCTTCAAGTGGAAAAAAATTTTTTGGTTTGTTTTTGAGATAGGTGAGTTCAGGCTGGCCTTGGACTCACTGTGAAGCCCATCCTAGCCTCAAACTCATGACGCTCCTCCTGCTTCAGCCTCCCAGGTGCTGAGATGACAGGCATGAGCCTCACTGTGAACTGCTGTTATTATTATTTTTGGCAGAACCAGGGATGGAAGTCAGGCTCTTGCACTTGCCATTCTGCTGAGCCATCACCCCAGCCCACTGCGAACTGTTAATAACAGTGGCTAACGTCACCAAGCACTTTGCACCTGTGCCAGGCTCTCTCTTGCCTGTCACCCTCACAGGTACAAGGCTGGCAGCACCTGCTTCCCTGCTGCCCACTTCCGAGCCTGAGCCCCAGACACTCACCAACCTAGAAGACGGGGAGGCTTCCAGCAGCCGGAAGAGGGGCCTCCCCTGCTGCCCATTATTGAAGACCTTCAAGGCCTGGGTAACAATGTCCTTGTATCGCAGCTGGAGCTGGGGCTGGCGCCTGCGCACACAGGACACCCCTGCCAAGAGCACCAGCAGGATGAGTACTTTCCAGGCCCCCACCATGGTGCCCTTTCTGATGGCTGCACTCCCGGCCCTCCTTTTAGATTCTTCTCAGCCCCCTTGCCCAAGGGCTGCTGGTGACATGCGGGCTGATGCCTTCCTGAAAGAGGGCCGCCACTTTCCTGAGCCCGAGAGCAAGTCTGGCCAATATTGCAAAACGCCATTAGCCAAGGAGTTTGGGCAACAGCCCAGGGCCCTGAGCTTAGGCGAGGATGCCTGTGTGTTCCTTCATGCCCTGCTCCCCAAGGCTCTTGCTGTCCGGCTGTTCTGCCCAGAATCTGAGATGTGGACAGTGATGGTTCCACAGCCAAGGCAAGAGAGAATCCATCCCAAGCTGTATGCAGACAGTAATAAGAAAAGAAAAAAAAAAAAAGGAAGCCAAACGTGGCATTGCATGCCTCAATCCCAGCTCTCAGGAGGCTGAAGCAGGCATTCAGCTGAACAACATAGCAAGACGCTGTCTCAAAACAGAACAAAAAATTGGTTGCCAACTTTGAAGTCAAGATCCGACCATCCTGGCCCATCAGTCCCTCTGAGCTGTGCTGCCAGCAGCGCCTCGATACCAGTCGCCGCAGTTGCTCCCTGCAGGGAGGCACGGGGAACCCCAGGAAGCAGCGCAGAAGGGAATACAGGGGCCTCCTTCGCGCTGAAGACTGCCTTTTGCCTGGGCTCGCTCACCCATGAGCATCAGCCCTTCGCTCCTCACCAACCCGGGCTGAGGGGCTCTTGCTCTCCTAAAAGAGATGCAGAGACTGGGGAAGACAGAAGCTGTGCGGGTGGGGGTGACAGACTCCGAACTGGAAGTCAGGAGTGGGGCCCGGGTCGGCGCGGTCCTCTGTAGACCGAATGGGTCCTCAAGGCCCACGTCTCTCTCACCTTGGAATCCTAGAAGCCTGATGCGTAAGGGTGACAGGTGAGAAACAACTCCAGATACAACAGCAGCCAGTGTGGCAGCGCATGCCTGTGATCCTAGCGCGCTGGAGGCTGAGGCAGGAGGGTCCCAGAGTTTGAGGCCAGCCTGGAGTACATAGTGGACCTGCCTCAAATAAACAACAGAAAGCAACTGCTGCAGCAGATGTATGTGTGCTCGTGGAATACGGGCCCTACTTAGAGAACAGAACCATTTTGTACATGGAGGAACACTGACTCCAGGCAGCAGGTCCGTGGGAGCCTGGTGGGGTGTTGCCTGGCCAACTGCGGTCTGCGCTGGCCCCTGAGCCCGGTTTCTCACTCTGGGGCCACAGGGGTGCTTAGGCTAGCACAGCGTGTCTGGGTCTGGGTCCCTCCTGGGATGTGAGTCAAGGAAGGTGGGGTGCACACCTTGGGGCTCTCTGAGCCGCTAACCAGTGGTTCCCAATGGATCCATTCCCCCCACGTTCCCAGGACAGTTGTCAGTGTCTGGAGACATTTCTGTTTGATCCTCATAACATAGAAGGTGCTTCTGGCATCAAATGGGCGAAGGCCAGGAATGTTACTAGATATCCTGCCCACGCGCAGGCCAGCACCTCGGGGCAAAGAACGCTGCAAGCCCCAAACGCACCTGTGCCAAGCGCGAGAAATCCTGCCACAGAGCGGACCATGACGTGAGCATGGAGGACTGGGGAGATCATCCTTTCACCTAATTTGTGTGGCTTCTCTTGGCTCTGGTTCATAGTCACAATGAGGATCGATGAATGTAGGACGCAGCATGCCCAGAGAAGGGGAGGAATGGACCCTGCAGCCTTCACGTCAAAGCCTTGATGTGCAGCGTGTCCAGAGATCTGAGGACAGAAGGCAGCGCAATGAGTCCAAACGCTCTGCGGGAAGCAGAAAAGGCCTTTCATTGGCATTATTTACTCTCTACTTAGGGTTGGCGGACTTCACAGTTATGAGTTCAAGGGATCAAACTCTGCTTGCTCCATAAACATCCCAGACCTTGTCCCTTTCCTGGACCCAGGGCTGGAGCTGTGTGAGACCTGCCTCGCTTCAGGGTCACACAGACCCGGGTTCGAACCCCACCTCTGCCACCTCCCCAGTGCCATAGTTTCTCTGGGCTTCAGCTTTCTAGCCTGCAAAGCAGAACGCAAGCTGACATAGGAAGGGGGCTGTGGGCCAGCACGCGAGGCAGAGGGAGCCACAGGGGTGGCTTTACTGCAGCCATGGCCAAGACCCACCACAAATGTGGACAAGGGGACCTTGTCTGAGATGCAGGTCCTGGGCATTAAGACCACACCCAGCTACAGCGGGTAAGCAGAGGTCTGGGAGTGCACCTGGGGTCAGAGGTGTTCATTTTGCAGCTCTGCCTCCAGAGGAGGGCTGGGGGCTGCAGGGAGGTTCGGGGTACCCAGCAAGAAGTTTCCCTGAGACCCACCCAGGGCAAACTGCCTGGGTCTTGGGGTTGGTATGGCAGCTGAAATGGGCAGCAGCAAGGAGCAGGAAGTGGACCGACCCATGTGGAGGACCACCTGAGCAGCTCTCCTTGAAAGAAGAGCGATTATCTCCATTTTGACTGAGCCTGACCCTATTTCCTCGTACTGTTCTGTATAGAGCTGCCTAGGACTCCTGTTTATCCTTCAGTTGGCCTTAAGTATTGTGTATTAGTCTAGCTGAGGTGCTGGTGACAGTCTTTGAAGGTGGCATGCACATTTCCCTGGTAACCTGTATCTGCTGCTCTTTAATGTGAGCCGGGTTGAGACAGGACAGTAGAGCCAATGCTCCGCAGAACCAGCTGGGATCGAGCCTGGAGACAGAGGCCATGACTTCCTGGGGCTTGAAAGGCTACACCAAAGCTGAAGCACCAGACTGACCAAAACGTTAGATACTATATAATGCAGATTACTCTCTCTGCATATCCTCTCTGCATATCACAGAGGTAAATGTGGGCCACCTACCCAGCTCAGCTCACAGTGATCCCCTACTTCCCACAATTCTCAGTCAACCCTCCTCAAGCCACTCCCCTACTGAATAAAAACCGGGTGAGGCCCTGGGTTGCTCTCTTGGTTCCAGAAAACCATCTTCATGGTTGGACTTAGAGCCTCTTGACTCCCTGATGATTGAAAATATAATTTAGTGTCTTTATTTTCGCCGTGGGTTGCATTGTAAGGGTAGATTGGAATCAACTTGATGGGATTCCAATAACATAACTTTGGGATTATAAGTATTGGCTTCTTGGACCGAGACGAGGTCTTGGAAGTGTCTCCTACAGACCCACACCCAGGGAAAGTCCTCCAGCTTCAGGAGGTAGGAAATCCTCTCAAGCAGTGTTCCCACCTTGCAATTCTGCATTCCCATCGAGTACAGACAGAGCTAGTGTGACAGGTCACGTATGTCTCTTTCCCAGCATCCCTGCAGCTTCCACACCTCTCTGGAGAAGATGGGCGTGTGGCACATGCCTGTAATCCCAGCACTTGGGAGCCTGAGGTGGGGATCACTGTGAGTTTGAGACCAGCTTGGGCTACATCATGAGACCCTGTATTTAAAAAAAAAAAAAAAAAAATGGCAGGACCAAAAAGTTTTCATAAAGGCTGGAGAATTGTGAAGAACACACTCTTCTGTGGTTGAGCTTCCTCTTGCAGAATGTGTGGGCAGAAGGTGGGCACAGGTTTCAGCACCCTTGCCCAAGTGGCCTGTGCCACGTCCGGATGGAGAAAGCTGCAGTGACCACCAGGTCCATGGGGACACGCACCTAAAGTTCCTGAACCAGCGCTGTGTGCACTGTTGCGCCACGACCTGAAGGCACGGGACCTGGTTGCATGCACAAGGCCCGCCAGCAGAGCCCAGCCCCATCCGGCGAGGACCAGGATGTCCCAAAGCTCCACATTTGTCAATCCCAGCAGGTGTGCATGGGGGCCCTCCCTCCCAATGGCCCGAACTTGGGGGCTTGTCCTAGGCAGGACAGGGATACACCCTCTTCTGCTCCCTTTCTAGGCACAGACGCTGCTACAAGAGGGTCCCTTGTCAGCAAATTACGACTGGCCCAGAGCTAAGAAACCTCCCTTTCCATCGTATAGGGTTTAGGGCTGCCAGAGCTTCCCGAACTACAGCAACTCCTCAGCTTTGGCGCCCTCTGCTGGCAAAGAGAGCCCTGCAGTCGGGAAGGGGCCGGATTCCACGCGTGGCACTCAAGCGGCTCTGACACCTGCTTGTCTGCAGACCTAGGCGTTCGAGCCTTTCTAGGGGAGAGAGCATCCAATGCTCTGGAACCCCTGGGGGCCTAGGACCCTCTCAAGAGCGGACCTCCCTTGTTGCCCTGGTGCTGCAGGTCCCCACCTCTTGTTGCTTTCTGTTTGAGACAGGGTCTAGCTATGTAGTTTAGGTTGGTTCTGAACTCATTATGTAGCCCAGTCAGTCTGCACCGTGGTCCTCCCGAATCTGAAATCAAAAGTTTCCTCCCCTCCTTCCCAGCCCTCCCCATCCCTCTCTGCGGGCCCTTCTGTTTGGTGGCTTTGCTTGCACTTCCGAGACACACCAGTACTCATGAACAGGACTCTAGATGACACCAGGGGGCGCCCACCTTCGGCCCCACCTGCACAGATGAGTCTTTTTTTACAATTTTATTTATTTATTTATGGGGGGGCAGCTCAGCCCACCAGGGGGCGGGGCTGGCTGGCATGTGGTGCTGGGGGATTGAACCGCGGTCCCTGTGCTTTGCTAAGCTGGTTCTAAGTAGGTGCTTTAGACCACTGAGCCATCTCACCAGCCCCGCAGGCCCGCACAGATGAGTCTTGCTGTCACTTTGCATCCTGTTCGCTCTAGAGTGAGTTCAAGCCCAGCCTCGATAAAAATGCAAGAGCACATGTCAAATAAAACAAAACAGTTCTTTGAGTTCCACACCCAGCGTGGCCTCTATGCTGACTTATTGTCAGGTGTATGCTCTGTAGTCTGAAAATGGCCTTCCAGGGTGACTTGGATTGCAGTTCCCTGTTTACTGATGAAGGCACATCTTTTCAAGTAATTCTGCCTGTCCCTGTAAGGTTCTGTCCAGGTCAGGTACCTGTGTTTCCATTGTGGTGTCTCTTGAGAATTCAGGAGAATTCTGTACCTCTGGTGGATGGTGATTCTCTCTGGTTATGACTTTACAAATACCTTCTCCTAATTGGGTCTTATCTG